TAGTCCCATGGCCTCCCTCTCCACTCTCCGCCCACCCCTCTCGCCACCCTGCTCTGGACCCTAGGCTCCATCAGAATAGTAGCTCGACTCCCTCTCCACTCTCTAGCCTGCACCCTCTCTCATATATTTCTGAACCCTAGCCAGAGCCGGATTGTGGCAGAACTGCCCGAAATAGCATGCTTTCGGAGGCGTTCGTCTTCCACTAGTCACTAAGCACCCCGAAAGTTAGCTACATCGGATAGTTCCGTCGAGCACACCCCATGGGAGAACTCGAATCAATCCATGTTTTACCTCTAGAATCCAATAATGAGTACGAGCTTACAATACTTAGTCCATTTCATACAACAAGAGTTCCTAGAAATTATTTATTACAATACCAAGGTTTAGAGTGCGATAATTAAATAGTGAAATGAAAATAAACATCTAGCGGAAACGATACAAGAATTCGTTTATGCCCACCAGAAGAATCCTCCACACAAGAGCTACTCCTCAAGCTGCACCTACCATAGGGTAAAATAAACTCTAAGTACACAATGTACTCGCAAGACTTACTCAACTAGTGGGAATAGTTTCCCGACTCCAAGGGGAATGATAGGCAATATGGGTTTGTTGTTTTCTTTTTATTTGAGAAAAGCATTACTAGAAGTACGTCCTTAAGATCAAGTTTAATTAGTAGTCATGATTACTTCATTAGCTAACCATTCTAGGTAAGCACATGTTCTACTTTCAAGCAAGGGTTGAGCAATCATAACCAATTTACCATCTTTGATATTCTAGTTCTTACTACGGTGCTAGATCATAGCCAAGTCATACCATCTCACGAAAATGGTGATTTGCGAACCAATTTATCCCAGCTGGGTATCCCGAAACACATGCCTCGCTTGTACCCCAGGCACAAACAAGACCAACCCATTCCACTCCTATCACGAGGTCTAGGCCCCCGTCCAAACTTGGACTCCAAGCCCCCACACTTGAGACCCAGTCTCAATGTAGTGCTTAGACCTCCACCTTTCCCACCTACAATTAGTCGGTTCAGAAAGAGTCGGAACCCATGACAAGAGCATAACGAGCCTTCCCGCTCCCATAAGCAAGTATGTGCTCAGGATAATAAGTCTATGACCTGACTACCATCCACTGCAATGGACGGTCCTCAATCAACATGAACAGGGAAAATAGTGTAACCAATCTAAGCCCCATGGCCATGGGACACACCTTGTTACACCCACCAATACCCATACCATATCCCTACACGGTGTCCATTTTTACTTTCATCATTTTTATCATGAGAGTAATTATAATAATCACCTATTGTGAGTAACAGCAGGTTACTCTCTCTCCGAAAACCTAAGCATAGCAACTACTCGAACCTACACTAGTAAGACTCATAGGACAAATATATCTATGCATGAGGTTTCCATAAAATTCCTATAACATAAATGCACAACATATATATATACACATGGTGGATATGAAAAATAGAGGTTATGCACCGGGGCTTGCCTTGGGTAGGCGTGGTGTCAACTATGTCAGTTAGTGGTGGCTCTGGGACCTCCTCCTGCATGAGAATCTCCTCCTCGTACTCCTCGATGATCTCCTAGAACTCGTGCTCACCGGTGGTCACGATCACTGCCGACTCGTTCTCTATATACATGCGATGACGATGATGCAACAACTTAGTATTTAGGCAATAGCAACTCTTAAAATAAGAATACACATGTTAAGCTACTAAGCTAGCTCTAATGACTAAGATACTAAGATAACCATCAGCTCTATCAAATCAAGTGTCAAGCTCACCCTCACAAGTGTTTAATTTCCTAAATCAATGTTATGCTCTTATTCATATTAAATGTTTAATGGATATGTAGCCACCCTAATAAACAAGCTATATTAGGGCTACAAAAATTAAAGTGAGCACATAATAATACAATGAAGCTATGGTAAAAAATTTAGGATTAAAGATATCAACAATTTACCACAAAAATTACTACAATAATTATCCTAATAATATTAAACACTTTCAAGTGATTTAATAGACCTTAGTACCAACATAGATATGTATGAACTACCTATACTAACAGGTACATTACAATTTTAGAAACCTAACAAAATTTGTTTCACAATTTTTGACATCTACACGCATTTATATCAATTATACAAATCTAGCTCAGAAATTGAAATGGAAAAACTATTACTAATTCTTAAGAAAAAGAAAAAGCGGATTCAACCACGTGGCCCACCTACACGCGGCCCATGCAGACATGGCCCACGCTCAAGACGACCCACGGCGGGGAGCTCACACGCGATGGTGCTTTTGCAAAAGAGCCCTCGGACTTCTCCCGAACTACACCTAAGTTCTAACACTATTTCTTCCTCTCTCTAACGAATTCATTTAACCCCCTGAGTTTTTCCTAATTCACCCATGCACACCCTCGGCAATTCTATGCACGGCAGTGTGGTGCGGCCGGTGGCACCAGGTGACTACACCGGCCACCTAGGACCTACGCGAGCCTATCTAATGGGTCGATCGCCATCTATGACCTAGATGACTACGCTAAGCGGTGGTGAGGGGTGGTGGGGCTCACTAGGGAAGGTTGCAGCGGCGCGTGGCCGTCCACGACAGCGACACAATGATTTTGGTGAACTAGGATAGCTACCGGCTTAACCAACTATCATGCGAGCAGCAGGGGCTCACCGTGGACCTAGACAAGGTGATGGTATGGCTAGGGACTACCCAAGCGAGGCCGACCACGTGCGACCAAGTGGCACGGCGGTGCACCACGGTGGACATGACTGCGTCAGCAGCGCCGGGGTAGCGGTCACTACACCACAACACCACTTCCCCGTCAGACATCTGACGCTAAAAATTATATTTGGCGATAGATGATCTGACGCTAAGGATAACTCAGAGACCATCTGACGCTAAATCCTCATTTAGCAATTTAGAGTCTATTGCTATAGGTATTCATATTTAGCGTTGAACCGTCTGTCGCTAAAGCCAAGTGTATCGGCAATCTATCTATTGCTAAAAAAATGGGCCCCACGCTGACCTCGCATGCCCGATAATATGGATCAAGACAAATAGCCCATCATGGCCCACACTCATAGCTGCAACAAGCCTCCCCATTTCCTCCCCCTCCCCTTCCACCCGCAGCTCCCCGCGCCTAGAAGGGGAACCCAGCCGCCGCCGCCGCGCAGCACGCCGCCCATGGCCTCCTCGTCGGAGAACACGGGCGTGCCGCTGGAGGAGGAGTAGCCCCAGGCCCCACCGACGCCAAACCCGGGGCCTACCGAGGCGGCGGCGCCTGGCGAGGCAGAGGAGGAGCCGCAAACCCTAGAGCGGGCGCAGGAGCTCTTCGACAGGGGCGCCAAGGCCATCGAGGATGAGGACTTCATCGAAGCCGTAGACTGCCTCAGCCAACCGCTCGGGATCAGGTTAGGGTTTCCTTTCCCGCTCCGATTTCCCCTCCACTTCTGCAACATGTAGCTGTGAAGCGACTCCGCGTGTTGGCGTATTTTGGAGCAATTGGCGGTTGGTACAATGCGTTTTTGTCCGAATTTGTTGGTTTTCACATCAGCGCTTGGGTGTTCGGATTTGCTGGTCTTCGGAGAAAGCTAACGCTGAAGAAGGTATATGCTTACCATGTACATCTAAGCAAAGTTCACTGAATCACACTTTAATTTTGTGTCTCTTTTTGATCTATTATTACCAAACACTAAGTTTGATCTCTTTCCCTTGCTTTTTTATACCTGCTAAGTATTCTATAGAATGCAGTCTTAAACTCCTAATCAGTAGTGTATCTCCTGTGTCACTGTGTGCTTGCAAAGTATTAGTTGAGTGCTAGAACTAATGTCTTCAATCACTATCAGCATTCCATAGGATTCCATTTCATTGAAGTGCTATTTTTTTGAACAATATTTGTGCTATTTTAGTATATGAGTAGGAGATAACATATATAAGTTTGTTTATATCATCATATGTTGATCATATTTCAAACTGGACCTGATTTAATGAGTTTCTTCTATACTTGTATATTGAATGCTAAGTATGGAGTGTTACAACTCATGTTTTTCATTGCAATCAGCATTCAGTTGGTTCATCAAAGTGGTTTGTTTTTCTTGAACAATTTTTGCGTTGTCTTTAGTAGGTGAGTTAGGTGATAACTGATAACTAGAAAATCCTTCGAATGCTCATGCATTTTAAATAGGTCTGATTTTAGATATTTTATTCTAGATTTGTTATTAAATGTCTTCTGTACATGAAGAAATGCTAGGTTAATCAGATATGTATCTTCGGTGCACTTGTGTCATTTGATTCTCATGCAACTAGCTGTGTAATCATTTTGCTTGCAGACACAATTCTACTAATAAAGGAGCAACTAGTAGGTTAATGTGACAGTAATATAACTTTGCTACTTCACCCAACAAGTTTTATAGTTTAATGTGATAGTAATATAACTTCCAGATGGAGAATGTTCCTATATACTATTGGCCAGCCTTTTTATTTCATTTATGATACTGAGCATAGTTATCGACCCATACAGTTCGTGATCATAAAGTAACCATGATATCAGATCTGCCTTGTTTCATCGTCGGTTCTTGTTGAAGGTCATTACACTGAGTGAGGACAACAGGATTCTTGATGAGGAGAACAAAAGGCTGTTGTGTTTACTGGAGGAAGAGCGACGACGCCTGTCTGAAAGAAAGAAATCTTCATGTACATCCACCACGTAAATTGGTAAACTTTGTTGTGTGCTAAGATGAATGATTTTGTTGCAAATACATGCAAGTAGTCTAGCTTGAAGGATGGCATCTTAGATGACTGGGCTCTTGATTCCGATACTACAGATTAGCCATTTCATTTGAAAACACTGAACAAACATGGTTATCTTATATAATGCTAGGAACCAGCAAATAACATTTAACTCACTGCTGTAATACTACAGAAGTGATGATTTCATCTTGTTCCATCCTGACATATACTGGTGCAAAGATTATCCAAAATGGTAGATTACTTGTGGAAAAAATTGGAAGGCCACTGGAACTGGATACAGACGGCATTTGGTGTGTTTTGCCTGGCTCATTTCCAGAAAACTTTACTTTGAAGACAAAGTGAGTAAACTACAGCAATTAAAAGTAATTTTCAAACAAGCTGTTTTGTTTTATTATTATGAAACTCTCCTATAGCTGCTCTCACTAATTCAAGGCTGGATCATCTATCCTAGACATTTCTGTTGAAATGATTGCCTGAGTTGGGTCTTGAGTGTAGTATTTGCTGGATTGCTTTTAATCCTTGTGGTTTCTAGCTTTTCAGTATGTGCTACTACTTGTGATTTGATCAAGGAGTTTGAGCATTGAAGTTACCAGGAAGCTAATTAAATAAACGTAAAATCAGCATAATTCCAGAAGTAGTTGCCATTTTTTACTGTACATTGAAGATTCTGAAGGCAGAATTTTGACTACTAATTCTCATCACAATAGTTAAGAAAAATCGACAAGACGATAGAAGAGTGATGCCATGAAATATTTTTTTTGTACTTCCGCTACTTTTATGTCGTAAATCTAAGTATTTGTTAATGGCCAAAGTGCCGAGTGTTGCCTACATTTGTATCATAGTGCTTGTGTTTTGGACTGGACGTAGCACAAAATACCTGCTGAAACTATCTATTCTCAAGTGATTCATTTGCAGTTTTTTGAAGATGGAAATTCTCAACACAAGCCTTTATACTCGATTATTCAAGTTATACTTCAAATCATTATTCAAGTTCTATATTGTCATGGTTGATCCTAGTGTTATTAATCGCTTGGTTTCTTTGTTCTACTAGACATTGAAAGACCCAGTAAATCAAGCGTTGAGGTGAGCTGAAGCTCATAAAAGTTTTTCAGGTATATGCTTCCTTTCCGCACCAGTTACTTCAACATTCTCTTTATTAACGTTTTAAATTTGTTCACACTTATTAACAAATAGAAACACAAGACTACGTGCTCCTGCGAAAATTGTGTCTTACCATTAAATGTATTTCTCTCCTAAATCATCCTTGTTTGATCTTAGTGATCTAGGCAAGTCCTTTTTGTTTAGAGAAGGGACCGAGTCTTATATAAGGAGGCATAAACTAATTGAGGTAGGGACACTTGGTAAACATATAGCCATGCCTCTTGAAATCCTCAGATATCATATGCAAGGGAACACTTTTTCGCTCCAAAAACATCAGAAAAAGAACTGAGTACTGCTTGTGCTCTAAAGGGGAATAAGAACTCCATTTTTTGACAAATAAACTGTGGGGAGTTTGCCGCAGTGCCTTTGTTGTAGAAATGGTTTAGTTATGTGCAAACAGATAAAAAGAAGAAAAAGGACAGAAGTTAAAGATGTTTTCCATTCCATACTTTCCAAATCTCCCATGAAGCAATGTTGAAAATCTCCATAAAGAAGTGCTGCTAAAAATTTCCTTTTGCATTGTAGATCTTTGTGGACAAGTTCTCTGTTAGTTGGCCAGTTTAATTTCTTAGATTTAACATAAATATTTTGCTTGCAGGCGGAGGTATTTGACAAATTTCTTCATGGTTCAACTTTGGAGGAGTGCTATTCTGCTGTTGCCTCTGTTGCTAACCGGTGGTTGGACCTACTGGATGTAAGCGATCTGTATAATGAATTATATTCTTATTCTCTAAAGCCTCAACAGGCCAACCAGCTTATGTTATGAGTCAATACATATAAAATTATTTTTCTGTTACAGAATCAAGGAATTGATATTGCTAACAGTGAATTGCTTGATTTCATATCGGAGTTAATCACAATGAGTAAATCTTTAGTTGACTACGGAGAGCAGAAGTCATGTGTTGTAACTACAGCAAAAAGACTCGCCAAATTCCTTGGAGATTCGATGGTTAAAGACAATGGACTACATTGCCAATATATTGTTGCTCGGGAGCCACAAGAAGTAAGCTTTGAAGTGTTTCAGTGATTAAAATCATTTAGCTATACATAGCTTCAAATTAGGATAGTTGTCAATGTTATGTTTTCATGGCCTTTCCCATGTTCTATTTTGGTATCCTTCATGTGATCCTATCAAGGAACTAAAGGAATATCCCTTGATTCTTTTTGGTGGCATTAGTTCTTTTTTGTTGTTGGCAAAGATTTTTGTGGCATTAGTTTGCCCATGTAATATTAGGTGAGTTGAATTATTTGTATTTATCTTTCCTATGGTTAACTTGACTTTCTTAAAATATTTAGGGCACCCCAGTGAGCGAGCGTGCTGTTCCAGTAGCTATATTCGAGACACATCCTGGTACCATTTTACATAAAAACTGCTCCTTCTGCATCAGTCAAACTGTTCAATTTACTTACCCTCATGCTATCCATGTACCTTTCAGAGATTGCAAAGCATTATTTAAGGAAATGGTGTAGAATCTCCTCTGATGCAAGCATTCGATCTATTGTTGATTTGTCTTACTACAAGCAACGCCTAAGTTCAGCTATTCAGAAAATCATAACAATTCCTGCAGCAATGCAAAAGGTAATATACTCCCTCTGATTCCAAATGTAGGTTGTTTAGGAAATGGACATGGACTCCAATGTGACACTTTGAATTGTAATTTTTTATTAAAATGTACCATTTTAAATAGTGAAAATATATATATACTGCAAAAGTATATTCCATGATGAATATGATAACATCAACATGTGTTGTGAATCTATGTAACTTTTCACATATTGATTGTCCAAGTTGATAAAGTTTTGACTGGATAAATCCAATCCTAGTACGACCTAGATCTGGAATCGGAGGTAGTAATTATTTCTTGTTCTCTTTGATTAATATTATTGATGAATCCTTATTTCTTACAGATCTCAAATCTTGTTCCTGATTATAAACTCATATTGTACAGTATCCCTAGCAGATGTTGCACAAACCCAGATGCAAGGAAAAATAGATGTTCTCTTAGAGCTTCATGTTGATGATACTACTGGAGCCAATGAGGTTTGTAGTGGACAGTAGTTGTAGTGGATCCACTCATATTTTCTGCATTGCCAATGAGGTGCTAGTCGATCTCATTTGGATACATGTAGCTGATACTGTAGACTTATCATTGATGAATCATTGATTCATGTTTGTAATGGCTGACCATATATGTATGTCTTAGTGAGTGTTTGGACTTGGTCATGAATGAATCTATTTGTATGAGAAACGTGCACAATGATGTTACTTTTGTATTAATTTGCAACCAAATGGCCTTTTATTTTTTTTAAATGCATTTAAATGATCTCGTCAAACCATCAGTCGCTGAAAACATTTGTAACTTCAAATTGTCTGTCGCTATAGAGTACTGGGAGGCTATCTGTCGCTAAAGAGTAGCAGCAGACTATCTGTCGCTAAAAAAATCAGGGCAACGGACTGTCTGACGCTAAAGATTTTTAGCGATAGGACTTACAGCGTCTGTAGAAGTATGTCGCTATAACTTTTTAGCGTCAGATTGTCTATCGCTGTAGCCGCTTTTAGCGTCAGACCATCCATCGCTAATCTTGGTGTTGTGGTGTAGTGGGTAGAGGTACGGCTAAGTCGCGCAAGGTGACATAGAGGTGGAAGCGAAGCTAGCGGTGCACTTGGATTGGGTCAGGGTGGATAGATGGAGGACAGCCCACGGCAATGACTGAGCTCCGCCTTATTGGCACGGCGGTGGGAAAAACTCCAAATTAGAGCTTGGCCATGCTTGCTTCAATGCTGGGTGGGTCGAGGGTCAGGTGGCTTAATGGAGAAGCCAGGGACGAGTCAAATTGAGTTGAGGTGATCTAACCATGCCGAATAGGGTGAGCAGGGTCAGCCGGTCGTGGTGGCAGAGAGAGAGAGAGGCAGTCAGCGCTCGGCTCATCCTCACCTTGGCGGGACGCGAGTGGTGCGATCAGGTTGCACACGCGTAGGCGCTACGGACAAGGCATGCGCGCATCCATGACCGACACGACATGAGCGGCTACCCCGCCTTTATGGGAGAGATGACAGTGGGTACGGCCATGTGCCGATGCCACGGATACGCCAAGCGCGCGCAGCAGTGGCAGGGCCACCGGTAGGGCGGATAGCGGTGTAGAGCCATAGGGGAGGTGCGGATGCGACGGCGCGAGGCGATATGGTCGCACCGGGTGCAATAAGGCGGCGCGAGGTGGCGGCGCGGCGCGGGCCGGTGTTTGCTGCGGCTGGCCTCGGCCAAGCCCAGGCGGGCTCAATCGACCCAGCGTGGCGGCACGGGGTGGCCGCACAAGACACGGCCATGTGCGCGGCGCAGGGTGACCGCGTGCATGGCACCAAACATCCCGAGGTTGTGTCATGCACGAATTTTAAATCATTGAAACAAACTAAACTATTGAAGATGGAGATAAACCGCCTTCACTATGCTAAAGAGGGTACATCAAACTACCATAAGGAACAAAAACATAGCACTGACCTTTAGCTAAATGTTCTAAAATTAATTCACCAACATGGCATTGTCACACTATTTCCAAACATAAAATTCTTCCAAGTCTTGATTTGAATTTGATTTCAAGTTCCATTTCCAAGCCATTAGAAATACTTGCTAGTCATATTGTTTTTCTACAACAAAAGTTGCATTGTCATCTATAAAGTTCATATGACAAACTTTATTTAAGTGCCACATATATGTTCTATAGTTTTTTTGTTCAATAAAAATTGGTTTTAAACTCTACTTGATATACATGGGTTATGGAATAGCCTCTCATTTAGCATTTTTATTGATCATCTTAGGTTCCAAAAATTTTATCCACACATTCCATCACATGCATTATCACATAAACATGATGCTCATGACATAGTTTAGTAATTTGTTTAGGGCGTAACACCGAGGGTGTTACATGGATCCCCTTCATTTCATCGACAACAGGTCGATCAGCTGACGGCGGAAGGACCGCCTCAACAACGATACAAGCCAGATCTAGATCCCCTACCTAGCTCGGCACCTATCATGGCCGACCAGATCTAATCCCTAGCTAGAGCCAGATCTAGTACCCCTTGGTCAATGTCGGTCGCACCAGCTCCGTGACCGTGATGACAGGACGGCGGTGCCGACGACAAAGCAAAGCCAAGGAACACGAAGAAGAAGAGGTACCCAAATTCCTTTTATGATGTGTGCTCTACTATAGTGGCTGAAGCAAGGATATGTAGATAGCAATGGGGTTACATATTTCCTATAGTTGAGTGTAGCTGACATGTGCTTTATTGGATTAATGACTTCCGTATAAGTTGTAGTTACTAGTTAGGCACTTATTTGCATACTCTTGCTTTGTTCTGTTGACATTCTATAGAAGCTTTAGTTAATAAATGCCTTTGTAATCTAGATGAACAGCCACTAACTGCTTATGAACAAGCACGGGATGCAAAAATCGCAAGGAATCATAGAAAGATGGAAGAACTTGGAATACATGTAGGCCCAAAACCTATGTCTCCAAAGGCAAAAACATCAAGCACAAAGGGTAGATATGGTGAAGATTTGGAATATATCCCTGAACCAGGCGAGGTAGTTGAGGGATTTGATGATACAGATGAAATAGATTCAGATTTAGAAGATGAGTTAGTGCCTCTATCAATTGAGGTGATTGTTCTATCTTGTATTTAGTTCAGAGGGGGCGTAGGTAGCCATGCAATGCTTTACTGTTTGGATAGCAATGGAATTTGTACATGCTTACTGCTTAAGTTTGTATCTCCAATTTTAGTGTATGGGTCGAAGAAGCCATAGAGGAGGCTCTGCTAGCAGGATAAAAGGCAACACTGCCATGAGTCCTGGGTGAAGGCCCTCCAAGCAAGTGAGGTCAGCACCACCAGAACAGGCTGCTCATGGAGTGTATGCTTGGAGGTCTGCCGCTAGCAAAAGGGTGGAGGTAGCAGCAGTAGGTGAACATAATTCTCCATCACGACCGACACCCGAACCCAGGGATCAATTCCAAGTTCATGAATTGACTAGAGACATTGGTCGAGATGGCACCCTACCTAGCCCTAAGAGAGACTCCTCACGGCCAGATGATTATAGCCCTGCCAAAGAGGAGTCCTCTCAGCAAAATCCTGTCTCCCCCCACCCGCAGAACGATGAAATTTGCCAAGGTTGGTATTACCTTACAGATGTCTATCAATCAATTTGCACTCGTTATTTGATATCTATGTAACTTTTCTAACAATCTGAATATATGAAAACTATGTAGTACCATTGCCAGGAATAGCGAGGAAACTGAAGCCTCAAACTCATGGAATTATGCTTAACAAAATAAGCAAATCACTAGGAGGATTGAGGATGCGCACCTCTATTGCCGAGGGGAACAGAAGGCCACATGATCCAGTACAAGCTGCCAAGTTTGTCTTAGAGGCAAGTGTAGTAGTCAGGCATGAAGTACCAATTTTGACACATTGGAAACAATACAAGGGGAGGAGGCCTGGCGTCATCTATTGCATAAGATTTGTGGATAGGCTAAATGTATGTATGGGTATCCTCTCTTGACATTCAACTCTTCTTTGAGCAACTTTGATGGATTTACTTTTCATTCACACTACTGTGTGCAGCGAAGGCTGCACATTAACGGTGCTCACTCACCAACAAAAGAAGCTTGCCGGAATGTAATGCAGTCTGCAGTACAGCAGGCATGCTATAGGTTGAAGAAAAAATACTTCATTGGCATCCCTGCTAATCAGATCCGTATGACCTCTCCTATCTCATCCATGAACAATGCATAGTAGTGTGAACTTGTAAAGATTTGGTCTAGTGCTAAGAACAAGGTGTGTGAACCCATCGATTTCCTGTCTAGTCTTGCTATGGTCTACTTGTGCTGCAGTCTAACACAAATGAAGCTATAGGAAACATGTGAGAAGAACAAGCGAAACTGTGCAAAAGTGAAGTACCACCAGGCTATAGGATCTCGGTCCTATATTGTCCAGATGCAAAAATTTGTAAGTGATGATTGTGTTTTATTGTTACTCTTGCCTTTGTATAAATATAGACCGAAACTCATGTGCAATGTGAACAGAAGGAGAACAAGAGGAAGGCAGCAGAACACGATCAAGAACTTGAAGAAGAAAATGGTCCACCTGATGAAGATGGTAATGCTGTGGAAGTCTTCAGGGACTTCCATACCAGTAGCAAAAAGGGCCTGAGCGATGCTGTAAGAGCAGCAGTTCTAAGTACCTTCTTTTGCTTTCCTTGAAATATACTGAAGTCATTGCCATAAAAGAAGGAAACATAGCAGGAGCCTAGTGTTATGGAAATCTACTAAAATCTACTAAATCTTATGTAATCTCTATTAGCAGTAGGCTAAGGAAGACCTATGCATTACTTGTTATGAATCAATCTCTTGGGTTTTCAATTGAAGTCCTCTTACACTATCTGTAACCTAATGTTTTACTGATTGAATTTCGTAGGAAGCTATGGAAATTATGCAAGCAGAACCTGTTGCTAATGGGCAGCAACCAATGACTAGTGCTGATGTTGTTTGCAAGGTCCTCTATGTCTACCAGGGCAAGGCCCCCTCCCAGGGAAGCGGCAACAACCTTTTTTTGAAGAATGCTAGTATCTAGACAAGCTCCACCAGAACAGAGATATCGGTGGAGAGAATGCTTCGGGAATAGCTTGCTGCTAAACAGGAAAGTTCCACTGCCCTCATCAATCAAGTGCATGAACTGAAGAGAAAGATAGAAAATACTGAAAGGGAGCTTGACGAATACAAGAAACGGCAACAGAAGGAGTACAACAATCTCTGTGAGCTATGCACGCGCTTTAGCTCTTCTAGTAACTCTCAGTCTTTAACTCCTGTGGCTTGATGCAGTGAACATTTATGGTTTGATATGTGGCCAGTTTGATGTGTGGACTTGTATGCCCATTTGATGTGGTGATACTCTATCAGTGGTTCATTGCTGACATGTGAAATGTTAATTGTTGATATTTGATTGTCAGGCTAAATAGTTATGTAGT